CATCAAGCTTTGCCTTCAACAATTCCCCCACAGTCTCAACATGACCGTTCAAAGAAGCCAAGTGGAATGGGAACATAGCTTGCTGGTTTCTCTTTGTGGCTACCGAAGGACGCTGGTCACAATCTGCTTCACTGAATCTGCTTTCCCTAGTTTTGCTGCGACGTGAAGCTCTGAATCTTCAAAATGAACTGGAGATGCTATCTCTAGTGTTTCAGGATCTCCATCACTTGCAGCTTTCTCCAACCGCTCGTCCATGGCCTTTGCACCGCAAATTAAATATAATCACACTTGTTGCTCTGTCAACCCCCTTCCTCCACTAGCCCGTGTTTATAACCTCACAGCGGCCTCTGTCACTGTGTTATTTATTTATTCATTTCAAGGATGCAATAATTGACTCGTTCATTTTTGCTATCAACTCTCCTTAGGATTTGTGGATCGACTAAATAAAATTGACCAACTTAATTATGATTTCTTAAAAAAAGAAGGCAATAAATGTTAGGTTTCAATCAATTAATTAAGTTATAGTATTGCCTTTATTCATTTTTGAAGTTTTAATTACTTTTTGTGACTTATTTTGATATACATTTAAAAAAATTTGGAAATTAGCTTTGAATGGTTTTATTTTTCATTATGTTAGGAAGATAGGAACACTTTATTTTTAAATTATAACAGACAATTTTAGTATTTCAAGGCCATATGTCTTGATCTGAGTCAAGTGGCCAAGAGAACATAATTTGAGTTTGGGCACCCTCGACCCACAAGTTGATGTAGTTTTGAATTTGAATTTGGGATCTCAAGCCTTATTTTCTACTTGTCTTATTGCAAATTGTTGGTTTTTAATTTAAATTAATTAGCAAATATAAATACTAAATCATTATATTTTCTAACGTTCAAGTCTTGAAGAGGTTTGACTTGCAGGGTAGGAGATGCCATGTGAGGGTTTCCTAATTAATAATGAAGAAATAAAAGTGATTCGGTAAGATTTATGAATACTAGAGTTAAAAAGTATATAGTTGGATATTTGATTTTTTTGGGGAAGTAATCACTGGTTTGTTTCTTCTGCGTGATTCATGGATTTGAGATATATTGACTTGCACTTGCTAACTTGTCATAAAAATAAAGGGAGAATTATAATGAAATTCTAAGCAAGGAAAACAATTAAAAAACAAGTTCCAGAGGTTGTCATTCTCACTATAAGACTTGTTATTATAGGCTGTTAAGGTTGTTATTGAGATTTTTTAGTAATTATTTTTCTTTTATGGGACTCGATTGTAATTCACCCAAAAAACAATATAGACAAATGGTCTTTTAGTATAAATATTAATATCAAACATTGTAAAATTTATACTAGCTCATCATATTCACTAGTTGGGCCCCCAACTCCCAATGGCATAATTCATCATATTTAATTAAATAATTAAAAATAAATAGAAACGTCACTCCATCGTAATTACGTCTATATGCCAGCTAGAAACATTTACATGGTGTTAATTTGTTGACCTTTTTTTTTTTTTTAATCTCCAAGGCTGACATTATCGGCTTGAGCTTGTAAGCAAGACGAAGCACATAACTTTTTACCTATAAAAGGCACTACAAAAAAATTGACTTTCAGTGGTATAAAAGTTGCTGCTGAAAGTTTTCAGTGGCAACTTGTTGCCGTTAAAAAGTCATTGCCATAGTAACCATGGCTGAAAAATTTCAACAGTGATAAAAAATGCCGCTGCTAAAAGACACTTTCAACAGCCACTTTTACAATTTTCTTTTGGCAGCAACCTTCTTGTCGCCGCTAAAGAACTTTCAGCGGCAACAATCTATCGCCGCTGAAAGTTAGTTGCCTCCAAAAGTGACTTTCAGTTACGATTTTTTTGTTATCGCTGAAAGTGATGTCCAAGAAAAATTGGGCTTATCGACACCACATCATCGCTACCCGCCACCACTCATCACTGCTGGGGCACCACATCATCACTAGCCACCTCCACATCATCGTCAGCCATCTCCACGTCATTGCCACATCACTCCTCCCCTGCCACGTCACTATCCAAATATTTTCACTTTAAATGTGTCTTCTTTAAGGTTCGAACTCATAACCACCTCTTTTCGCATCCGATCTTCTTACTGTTGAGTTGGATTGAATTTGTTTATTACTATTGTAAAATTAAATATATATTATTATATTATACTTTTAGCGGTGATATTAGAAAGTCACCGCTTAAAGTAAAGGCGACACTAATAGTCACCGCTAAAAGTCTACTTTTAGTAGTGACTTTCCAGGGTCGCCGCCTAAAGTCTTTTTTTCCTTTTTTGGTAGTGAGGCTAAATCCGGTCAAAAAAATTAAAGATTATGAAACAAATTACAGAAGGGAGTAAATGGAAAGATATCAAGAGAAAACGGGGTTTGGATCCTCTCAGAATCTTTCTTTTTTCTTTTCTTCTCAGAATCTCATCTCCACTATTGGATCAAATAATAGATAGTTCAAATTTAATATTTTAAAAAACAGATGTCCACCTTCTCTCTCCTATTTATGTAATGTTATAATAATAGTTTTATAAATTATGAAATTTGAACCATTTATCATTTGATCCAATCGTGAAGATCAGATATTGAGAAGAAAATGAGAAAGAAGGATTCTGAGAAGATCCAAACCCAAAAAAGGTGGGTGCTGATAATTAATGTCATTAACTAAACGTCTTAATTGTTGGGAGGAAATTAATTAGATGAATATAGAAGAGGAAGAGAGGAAACTTAATACTCATTATTCAACTCATTAATTTTCAAAGGCATCTACAAAATGAGATGCGTTAAGAGTTATTTATAGCCTCAACTCTAACCCTAAAAATTAAATGCATAATATTCTTAAAATCCAAAAGTTAAATAAAAATAATAATTGATGATAAAAAATAATAATCAAAACTAAAAACCAAATATTCCTAATTAATAATGATAAATATATGCGTGCGTGTGTGTGTGTTTATAAAGTCCTAATCAATCATTGCTCCACGTCCATTCATGGGTGCTACTAAAAAGTTGCTTCATGATATTGGATACACCTTAACTCTTAATTAATGAATTTAAAGCGTATATATGTGAACTTAACAATGCTGGTCAAATTAATGTATAGGTAGGTTTATTGACACACACAGAGGCAAGCAATAAAGTCTTGGTCAATAGAAAATCAGTTATTTAAACAAATGATTTGTGAATAAACTAATGACCAAAACAAGTCAATCAATAAATTAAATGACGTCACGCAGACTCGATAACAAAATAACGTGGGTGGTTGGCCACGATTATTAATAACAATCAAGGGAAGGAATTAAGGAGAAGATGAAACGAATCTTAATAATCGATGGGCTATTATGCCTACCACTTTCTTTGCCTATTATAATGTATGCTTCGTTGTAGCTTTCACTTTACATGAATAAATTTTTTTTACCCCCTTTTTTCCTATACATTCTTCCTTTACTCGATCGTGTCCCTCTACCTCCTCTTGCTTTGTCTGATTTATTGATAAGTTATCTAATATAATTCCTAGAGCAATATTAGAAAAGAAGAGGGGGTGAATTGGGGGTGCGAGATGCAAATGGAGATAGAGATTAAATTAACAAGTATGGCGGAGGCATGTAATCGATACAGCAACTAGAATCTGGATCTTTGCTTAATTAGAAAGTTGATGGGGAGTGTATTTGGGACTCGCCATAGACAAATAGGATAATTCCGTATGTTTCGGGATCTTGTCCTTTGTGAGAGCATGAAATATTTGTTTTATTGAATTATTCCGGGGATCAGTTTTAGTGACCCAGTCAATATTTAAAATTGGGTAATGATACATTTAGTATCCTGATCTTTCTTATGGTGCATACAACAACCTCATCATTTTTTTTAATGCACACAGCACCCTAATCTTATTTTTAACACATCCAGTGCTGTACTGGTCATGGTGTTGGATGTAACTAAATAAACAACATGGGGGTGTTGGATGGACCCAAAAAAAGGAAAAAAAGATTGACTGGAAGAAGATCAAGGTGTCGAAAATCATGAACAATAAAGCCAAAATGGCTGCACACTCCTTGAGGAATTTTATGAGGCCTTCTGATGATCTGTGATTCTGGTTGAGGCGAAGGCAGCCCCGGCCTATTATAGTGCTACCATCTTTGTAAAAGGTTGATGGAGGACTTGCCAAAGTTGGTATGTCAATGTTAAAATCAAGGTGGCCACTACTAGTATTGCATCCTGAAACAAATATGCTACATTGCTCTGCACTTTTCTAGATGCTTCAGTGTCATCATTTCCCATTCCCTCAATGTTTATACAACGTTCTTCTTTTATTTCATCACGCTTTTCATCATCTTCCTTCAGTAACTCTAGTACCTGCTGGTCAAAAAAAAAAAAAAGCCTCTAGCACCTGCCACAGTTATATCCCACGCCACCATCATAAATAGTCAAACATGTATACTGATGAATGCACATATTATATACTACCTCTTATCCTTAATATAAGAAGATAACTAATTTGAAGAGATTAAAGAAATTAGTTAAGTTGGTTATTTGTAACAAGTGTGTTGACTTCCCTAAACTGCCATCTTTAATCATGTGTAATGGAAATAGTTCTTGAGAAAAAAATTTTATAATCAATAAGGATATTTTGGAGACAAAATTTATAAATTGGGAGACAAAGCGAATTGAGATCTTATATTTAGGACGAAATTCAACCCCCTACGGACTCTTATATTAAGAACTAAAGGTAATATTTCTTAATACATATATATACACTAGCAATTGCTTCTTTGCCGCTGCAAGTTGATCGGCACTCCTGCCTTTTTAGTCCTAGCCTCCTAGGCTTCAAGCACTGCGTGCAAATTGTGATGTCTGATGCTGTTAGCTGGCACTTACACATCTTCAAATTGATTAGCCTTCACTGCTAAATGAAGAACAGTCTCTCCTTTTGCTGTAACTTGTTCCAAGCACTGAGGACATGCTGTCATTAATTCTTCCATCACCCTCATTTTGCTTGCTGTGATGCACAGTGCAGCAGAGTCCAGCCTTCTTCATCCTTCACAAGGCACTGATTCACTCCGTCATCATCAAGTTTTGCCCTCAAAAGCTTCCTCACTGTCTCAACATGACCTCCTAAAGAAGCCAGGTGCAGTGGGATCATACCTTGCTGGTTTGTCTTCTCTGGCTAATGAAGGCATTTGAGTCACAATGTGGTTAAGTAAATCTGCTTTCCCTGATGGTGCTGCAACATGGAGAGGTTAAGCTGCAAAATGAACTGAACATGCTTTCTCTAGTATTTGAGGATCCTCCTTCAATAAAATTTTATTTGCTAGATCATTTGGTGAGAAAACTGATAGTTTAATTAAATTGATAACAAGTAGCAAAAATATTTTTGAAAATTATCATTATGGGACGCTAATCACGGACCCGTTGTGCTCTGAAAACTATAATTTGTCTCTATATTCAACTCTTAATTATATATATAATCCGCAATCCCCTAACACCCATAAACAAAGGCATTAATAATCAGATCAAGATTTTTTTTTCATTGAAGGAAATTTCATACGATCTCATTTGATAGAACTTTTTTATTATACTTCATGGTGATCCTTATTCTTACTTTTTGCAGTCATCAACATAATAAACTTCATAAACCATCTTAATTTGCAACCATTTAAAGTAGTGAGAAACTTGAGTCTTACCCTTTTTTATGAAGATTAAGGTTACAAGTTTGAATAACGATAGAGTTTTAGTAATCATAATTATGTACAGAACCCATAAGTTTGAAAGAACAACTTCCGCTTTTCCTTTGCTCAAAGTATTTAATCAACCCCATCATGTGCGTTCCAACAAGCCACTTGTTAACTTAAAACAATTTACTCTAATTAAATTCCTCTTGTCACAAAATTTCACAAACACTTTACCGACATAAGATCCAGATAATATTATCAAACTTTTCACCTTTCACTCTCTTGCCCAGTAATGCTCAAGTCCAATTTTTCACCGAGTTTCAATATAAAAGAAGTATCTCTCACTTCTATTGAGTCTATGTCACTTCAATCACAGCTTACCATTCACTCAAATTTTATTGTTCCCTTAAACATTTCGTCAAACATTTGCCATGCATCGAAGTTAAAATTAACAAAATAAGTTTCCTCTTATAACGCCAACCTTGGTTGGCTAGAATTTCAGCAACAGTCTAACTAAATTCTTCTCCTACACATATAACAAACACCTTGGGCGCAACTATAATTTAACAAATTCACCAAACATATTAAACTACAATTTCAGCTTGTTTAAGCTTCTATCATTCCTCCTACACCACGCAGAGCATCACAGAAACAACCTCAAATAAATTATTGCAGCTCCATGTATTCCAAAAACTCACACGGCAGTCACATAAATGAAAGAAAAATACCACCACATACACGCATACATTGAGTAGAGGAGCAGGAGGAAATGAATCAAATAATCTCGACCATACATAATAGTAGCAACGAAACAGGGGAAGAAAAATGAAGTGAAGATTCCTCTCACACACTACTATGCAAGTTAAGGAAGAGAGAGGAATTTGAGTTTAGCTAAAGCTTCACTAGCAGTGGCATTGAAGGAAGAAGTAAGAGGCGCAGCGTAATCCTTCTCCAAACCACCAGAACACCAACATCAAAAGATAGATCAAATGATGGAGCTTGAAGAAGAGGAACACAGCTCCGAATTTGCAAGACCGGCGAAACCACGATACGCGCACACCCGCCACAAAAAAGAGAGGGAGGACTATGGAAGGGAAGCCAGCGACACTGGGGTTTCTAAATGCCCATACAGTTCATTTTTTCCAGATGGATATCTTACGAAAGTGGATTTTTTTAGACTCTGGTTTTAGTAATCTTAATAGTACTAAAGCCAAAATTAACCCTTACCTAGAATGAGCCAAATTCGAGCCTCAAAATTAGATAATAGCCTTCAATGTTAGTTCACAATAAATGATAAAGATACTAAACCTCTTGTGTAAATTACACAAAATATGTGAGAAGCTTTTTTTTTTTCTTTTTTTTAATCCATTGAAATGAATCTCAAATGACATATAACAAGGAAAAGGCGAGGAAAACCGAAACATAGTTCCGGATAATTCAGGATGTTGTACATTAATTTGTGAGAGCATATGAAAGGTTTGTTTTATTGAATCATTCCCTTCTCATTCAATTTGGAGCACATGTTCAGATGCAAGTGAATACCACACAGAGCCCATTAAAACAAGTGACATCCATTCACGAACATAATATGTGGGGAAGGAGAAAGATTTCATTACATCTATATATATTACAAAACAAATTCATTATACATTGGAAATAAATAATCCTTCACCTTGCTTATGGTGTGAACACCTTGTCATGTTTCCATCTTAATCTTAACGCCATTGTTTTGCTAATTTGTAAAATGTGCACCTAATTGATGGTTGTAATAATAACGCGGCACCTGCAGCCACTATCACCCAAAAGACCATTGTAAGATATACAAGGTTATAGTTGATAGCCGTGAGCAACCAGCAATAATGCAGGATGAGGCACACCATGAGCAGCCACTACTCAATGTATGCGTGTATGTGGATGAGTAACATCCACCTTCGGGCCCGTAAAGTGATAAACACGACGGCGATCGATTGGACGAAGATCGTGGTGTTGAAAATCAAGAAAGTAGAAAGCACCACAGCCGGACAGCTCTTCAGGAGGTCTACGATATTTGAAGTATGTTTCGAGGAGTGAAGGCAGTCCCAGTCTATTTTAGTGCTGCCATCCTTGATCAAGGTTGATGGAGGATCTGCCACTGCTTGGTATGTCAATGTTATGATCAAGGTGGCCACTATCAGTATTGCATCATCCCGCTTCGACTGCATTTTCTTGCTGTCCTTGCTCTCCTGTTTTCTGCATTCTTCACTCTCACTCTCCTCCCCCTCCACGTTTATGCAACGTTCCTCTCTTATTTTGTCACCCTCCTCATCATCTTCCTTTAGTACCTCTAGTACCTGCAGCCACAGTTTTATATGTGTGTGTGTGTGTGTGTGTATGCATGTATGTATTCCAGTCAACATATCTGAACACTCGTATATATTCATTACATGCACATACATATTGTACTTTCCTTAATACATATACCTGCGACTCGTACTGTTTCTTTGCTGCTGCCAGTTGGTAGGCACTCTTGCCTTTTTGGTCCTGGGCTTTCAACAGTATGTGCAAATTGTGACGCTTGATGCTGTCCGCTAGCACTTTCACAGCTTCAAATTGATTGGCCTTCACTGCTACATGAAGAACAGTCTCTCCTTTTGCTGTAACTTGTCCCAAGCACTGAGAACATGCGCTCATTAACTCTTCCATCACCATGATATTGCCTTTCTGTGATGCACAATGCAGCGGAGTCCAGCCTTCTTCATCCTTTAGAAGACACTGATTCACTCCATCATCATCAAGCTTTGCCTTCAAAAGCTCCCTCACTTTCTCCACATGACCACCTAAAGAAGCTAAGTGCAGTGGGATCATACCCTGCTGGTTTGTCTCTCTGGCTAACGAAGGCTTCCGAGTCACAATCTGCTCCACAAAATCCGCTTTCCCGCATAGCGCTGCAATATGAAGAGGTGAATCTGCAAAATGAACTGAACATGCTCTCTCCAGTATTACAGGATCTGCCTCCAATAGGTTGAGCAGTGTGGTAACATCTCCATCTCTTGCAGCTTTCACCAACCTCTCATCCATGGCCTTTGCACTATACAAAGAATCACACTTTGCTTACTGCTTTTTTTAATTTGTTTGATTACCTGACTATACAATCTAGAATTCCTTATATTTCTGTCTGTGCATATATACCTTGCTCCAATATTAATCTATCTCCTATTATTCCAAGCGTTCGTGTTCCCGTCAAGTACTGTGTATGTGATAGCCTTCCTTTACATTTGGAATAAAGTTATATTATCAAAGTGATGAATAATTCTCATTATAGAAAAGTTCATTAGATCTATCAACATCACTCTCTATGTGAGAATTCATCTTTACACTGTGTGGGATTAGTTTTTTCCATCCTCATATCCTCTGTATCATGAATTTTGGTTCTTGGTGGCTTGGTGTAGGGCTCTAATTCTCAGGGTTGGCCAAACGGTGGCCGATGAGATTGTGGGAGGCTGCGTTTCGGACGATGATGAGCAATGGTTCGATAGAGGAGGCAATCAATGGTTCAAATTTGAAAGACTTGTTCCCCCAAAATTAGGGCTTTGTGGTATTTTAATAATAAAAATATAGATACAGAATGCTTCATTAACCCAGATACAGAATCTAGCTGGGAACTAAACCACAATTGTGAACCATGAGCTTTCACATGCTTGGACAGGATTTTAATATCAACATATGCGACACTTAAAGGCAGAATTCAATCCCAATATTTTAGCATCAATGTGAAACACGTTTGACAGAATCTGAATATAGAGTTATTGACCGAAATCTTTGATCAACCCTGTGCTCTACTTTTCAGCTCACGACAAAACTACAAGCTGAAGCTGTTGAGAATATAAATGGGGTTTCTAAACAAAACATTTACCACACGCGGCATTTTTCAGCGCAAGTTAGTGATATGTTTTGGGGACAAAAGTCACTGCAAAGGACAAAATTAAAAAAAAAATATTAAATGTTCAGACAAAACTCAAAATAAAGCTTATATATTGGACCAGATATTTCTTCAAAAGTGAAGCTTATAGTATTAATTAGAAAGGTGGCTAACTATTTACGAGATAGGGAGAGAATGACATATACTGCCTCATATATTTTCTTTCATCATTTATTCATTTATAGTCTCCATCAATTATTCTCATAATAAATAAAGACATATTTTTTAAAAAATGCATTTCTTATTTGAAAAATATATATAAATTCCTTACCTAGTTATTATTTTTAACTAGTTTTAACTGCTTGTTCATTAAGGGTTTGTTTGGTTCAACGAAGGAAAATGGGAGGGATTTTAATAGAAAGAAGGAGAAGGGGAGGAGAGGAAAATTTTTAATAGAGGAGAGGGATTTTAATGTTACTTTGTTTGGTTCAGGAGGAGAGGGGAGGGGAAAAATTTTTATATAGACAATTTTATCCTTATTTTATTTTTGTATAATAAAATATTTTTATATGCATTTTGAAATAAAAAAGAATACTAACATTATTATCATATAATATTACATATATTAACAATATTTTTGTGACGTATTAACATTTTATATATATTATTAAAAGTATTATTATATGTATAATATAATATAAATCTATATAACTATTACAACAATAAGATGCTGGGGAACGGGTTTCACCGAAATTTAAAAAAAAAAAATGAGTTGCGAACAGAGACAATTGAAAAAGAATAAAAAGAGACGGTGAGCTTGAAGTAGCAGAAAGAGTAGAGCTGGGAATCAGGGCTGGTGGGCTTAAAAGGGCATGCCCTCCAGGACTGAAATTTAAAAAATACCCTGATTTGCTAGGCCCGGTCCTTAAACTAGAGGGCTCAGGGCCGGCCCGTGGGCTTTTGGCCCGTTTAAGAAAAAAATATTATTTTTTATATTTATCATCTTTTTATAAAAAAATAAAAATAAACAATGAAATTATTAATAAAAGACATAAATATGAATAAAATTAAGTCACAAATATAAAATATCCTCATATATAAATATCCATCAACATCCAAGAACATCTAAAACATTTATTAACAAGATAACAACATCCAAGAGTTTTATCTATAGTGCAATTGTATAATAAATAAACATTATTATTAATCTCTTAAAACTTCATAATCATTATAATTAATTACTCTTCTTTATAAGTATGATTTTCTTTCGTAACAAAAATATCAAGTTTTTCTTCTTTATAGGAATTTTACTTTTAAATTTTTCAATCTAGATATTATTTTACTTTAATGTGAGAAATATTGTTGTTGAAACTCATGAATTTCTAATTCAAATTATAGAATTACATGTTATATAAGTATAAAAATACTCTATTATCAAATATATATATATATAGTTCAAAAATATCAATGCATATAATATAAATCAAATCATTATTAAAATCCAAATTAACCCATTTTTTTAAAAATTTAATTGGATAAATTATTGTCTAAAACTAAATTTAATTTTAAAATGATAATAATAACTAAATATTTGAAATATTATTAACAATGTAAAAAATTAATAACATTAGAATTATATAAAAAAATTTACAAAACAAAAAAATTATAAAATGGCTTAAACAGGCCGGCCCAGAGCCCTCCAGGGACGGTCCTTTTAAGCCCTCGGCCCTCCAGGACCAGCCCTTCAAAACTTATTTCCCATTTAAAGAGAAAAATATCAAGCCCGACCCTCATAATTTTAAGACTTAAACAAGCTCAGCCCAACAGGCTCGGCCCGTTTTCCGGGCTCTAAGAGAGAGAGAGGTGAGCAGCAACACCATGTTCGAGTCCAAGTGAGGAGGAGAAAGAAGATGAAGATTTAGAGTCGGAGAGCTAATGAGAAACATGAGAATACAAGAATGGCAGGGATAAAATTGACTGAAAATAACCTAAAATTTCTCTTCCTCGCAAAAAATCTCAATTTTAGAGGGAAGAAAGAAGAAGGAAGGAGAGAGAAAAAAGACAAAATATTTCCCTCCCCTCCCTTCTATTTTTCCAACCAAACACAGTGACTTCTTCCCTCCCCTCCCCCTCAAAAACCCTGAACCATACAGTGTGTGAATGTAATTTTTTATACGAGCGGAGGGAGTATAATGTCTTTTTCACTTCGTCCCATTTTTTGAAATAATTATCATTTTAAAGTGGCGCACATAAATTTAAAAATATAAAATAAGCTGGACCATAACAAAATTCAATAATAATATTGAACTAACACTCGTTATATTACCCTTATTTCTAATTTTTCATATAATTATTTCCGTACAAATACAGGATGAAATAATTAATTGAAATTTCAAAACAAAAAGAAAATGTAGGAAAAGAGAAAGATTTCTTCTCCAGTGACTTGGCAGTTAAAAAGTTGTAATATTAGATTACTTCCCGATCACATTAATTCCTAATCCTGATTTAGTCCTAAACCTATTATAATACGTAAAGATTAAACAAATCCCTCTTTTTTACGCGTGGGGTCTTTTGTTTTTTGGTTGGAAGACTTCTTTTGAATTGTCTACTGTATTAATTGTCTTTTTTTACAAAGGTATGTTTTATTAATGACAAATGCATATTTTATAATTAAATGTGTGTGAATTTTAGGACATATTGAATTAAATTTTGTGTATTTTATTTTTTATTTAATTATAGGATAATTAAAAAATCTATTGGCTTTCTTTTTATTTTGTAAGAAATATTATAACATTTGACGCAGAAAAAATTAGGGACAAAAAAAGAGGGGTAAAAGAGGTGGGCCTGCGAAAAGAAAAGGACTTAAGGAGCAGGCTGCAATTTCAGTTTATTGTGCACTAAAGTGGGGGGGGGGGGGGGGAAAAACCGGAGAATTGAATTTTTTTAAAAAAAAAAGTTGGACCTGGCATTAACATTGGAATAAACGCGGTAAGGCCGCGGCTAATTGTGGATTTGTGGTCAAAATCGGCTGCCTCACTGGGGCTGATATATTCTGGGTGAGTTTGACAACCTTCATAACCACTCCAAAAAAAAGGAAACACTAACATGCTAGTCCTCATGGCTTTACTAATTTCTGAATCAAGTCCTTGTATTTTTTTTTTTTTTCCTTTTTATCGAATCCTTATTGTTTGCTCACTTTTAGTATCAGTTCCTCCGTTACACACACCATTACTTGAAGCTGTGAGAGAGAGAGAGAGAGTGATGTCGCGCTGAGCAACAGTAAGGACACATCTTCCTCTCCTGTGAGGCTGCAACACTTCTCCCTCAACTTCTCTCTCCCGTCTCAGTTGTAATATTACCCTCCTCCTCATTCTTGTTAAGCTTACCTCTCCTGGTGATCAATATCTTTGCAATTTCTATGGCTCTTCGTCTTCTTCTTCTTCTACTCTGGATATGAATGAGAGAGAAAAAGTGAAAGTGAGAGAGCGATCTCATAGCGAGAGAGCGATCTTATAGTGAGAGAGACAAAGCAGTGAAGAGAAAATGAAGGGAAGGGATGGACCATCAGTGCTGAAGAACTCTTCAGTTGATTTGATAAAATGGAAAATCCGAGAGAGGGCCAAGAGTGTCGCTGTTGGTTTCTGAGACCAAATGAAAGATCAAAAATGATTTTTCAGTTCGGATAAGGGAATTAACTTGACTAGCTTCACTACAAGCAGGTTGCTAGCAAAGAAAACAAATTATATTATATTTTAGTTGTTTGACTATGCAATATTGTCGTCAGTCATAAAGGTGCAAAGAGGAAAATTCATGAAAGAGATGAAAGTCCACAATTTATACTTTTGAAGAGAGAGAGAGAGTGAGGGAGGTGGGATGCAAGATAGAAGAAAGAAAGAAAGGGAAGGAGTGTTTTTGTAGAAAAAACAAATGAAGATAAGTTGATGAAGTCTCAACATCTCCTTGCATACGGGAATGTGCTAATTCGAGAATAACACAGAGAGAGAGAGAGAAGGACTGAGAAGGTAGCAAAGGCTTAGCTGAAATGTAAGTCCGGTACAAAGAGAATTAAAATAAGATCTCGGGAAAAAAATTATAAAATAAGTATCATTTCTTACTTTAAAACTTGTTACTCCTCCGATCTTAATTATAAGACCCAATTGATTTATTGGAGGAGATTAAGGAAGTAAGTTAAGTTGGTTATTTATAATAAATAAGTGTTGTCATTCCTAAATTACCCTTGCTAATTAAGTATATTGGTTAAAACTATCATTATTAGAAGGATTATCTTGAAAAAAATGCATAAATATAAGAGACAAAATAGATTGGGGTCTTATAATTAGGACAAAATAAAAAGTCAAATGGAGTCTTATAATAAGGACCGGAGGAGTATTATATATTGTTCAGGTTGTTATTGGACTTTTTAATAATTATTTCTTTTTAATAGGATTTGAGTATAATTCTTCCCTGTAAAAATGAGAAAGAAGAGGGTGCCATTACCGCTGAGAGAGAGACAATGGTGTTTGTTTGCTGAGATTGAGTGGAGGAGGGAGAGAGAGGCGGAGCAGACTGGATGCAGGGGAGAACCAGAAGAGGCAGAGAAGACGCATGCTTCGTCTCATTTAGTGCCGCGTCACTCTCCCAGTTAAAGTAACGGCGTCGGTAACGGAGGGATTTATATTAAAACCAAGCAAATAATGAAGATTGGATAAAAAGGAAAAAAATTACAGGAATCTAATTCAAAACTCGATAAAACTATAAGAACTAACCAATTAATTTTTCTGAAAAAATATTTTTAGCTAAATTGAGATGAAATTTATTTTATATATTTATCTCAAACGCTGTGAAATTACGGCTAGTCCAAATACTTTCCAAACCCAACCATGCTTCTCAGAAAATGAGAATTAAACAGACCTGAATTTAATATAAATTTATATGCTATGCTGTTTATTATAATTTTCAGTTAATAGATTTATAATTTCACATCCATTTAATGATTTTTGTTAGATTATAATGATTTAATGTGATATGTTAATTTGACATTGCCAATGCAAGTATAGCTGGGAATACGGGCCAGCCCGCCACAACCCGCGGGTTATGCGGTGCGGGTTGGATCAGCCCGCATTTTGGCGGGCTGGAAAAGTCCCAACCCTAACCCACCACAGCAGGTTGCCCGCCAGCCCCCCATCCTTTTTTTTTTAATTCTCAATTTTTAAATCTTATTTTTATTTAATTTTTAAACTAATAGATGGTGATCCAAAATTTCAAAAGTAATCACAAGTATAAATTATATTTAACCACATTTAAAATAGTCAATATAAATATAAAACAATATATTATAAATATTTTACATGACTAACATTCAACATTAACTTATCAAGTGATAAATTTTAAAATTTTTTTATACAAATGTCATGTTTGATACAAAACACTATCTCTTAATAAATTAGAAGTGTATTTATCTAACTTTTTTTAAAGTTCATTCACCATATTTTTCTAAAATACTTTTTTTCTGTAATAAATATTATCTTGTATTTAATTGTAGTTATTAAATTTTTGCTGCAAATATAGTATGCTTATTTTTAAAAAATATTTATTGTTTACATATGTATTATGTAACATGAAAATTGAGATGTAAATGAGAGAAGAAAAATTTCAAATATAATAATATATTATTTATGTGAAAAAATTTTAAAAAAAAAAGATGGCGGGTTAGGCGGGCCAACCCGCCAACCCACGGGCTAGCCTGCCACAGCTCGCGGGTTATGTGGTACGGGCTAGAGCAGCCCGTATTTTGACGGGCTGGCAAAATGCCAACCCTAACCCGCTCTTTTATGGCGGGTTGACGGGTTGGCCCGCGGGCTCCAACCCATATTCCCGGCTCTAAATGCAAGTTAGGCAGCACCCTCGCTTATTAATTCCCTGCTACTAAAAATACGATTTAAAATAATGAGATTATTAGATTTTAAGTAACATGTCATGATCTAACATGATTTTAAATTACATATAATCTTGTATAATATTCACAACCAATTTGAATAAGAAATACAAAATATATCATTGTCAATACGCAATGCCTATAAGACAATGTACATTGGCATCTCAAGCGAGTTGCATAGAAGATCTCTCTTAGTTATATGTCAGTTGTCCATCTATGTTTTCCTCTTGCTTTTCCAATTTCCTGGTAGCAAAAATATCACTTTATCATCATGTAAATTATTCCGATGAGTAACAAGCTCTTTCAGATATACACAGCCCTTTCGCGAAAAATTTTTAGATGAAAATGTCATTTGACCTAATTTAATGTAATTTTTTTCAAAATAAGATTTTTTGTATTTTTAAAACTATGAGTTGAAAATTTTAGACCTAGATTATAAAAACTATATTTACATGATGCAGATCTCACTGCAAGGATAAGGATGATGATCACCAAAACTAGGTAGTTTTGACAAATAATGAGCAAAAAGTATTAGAGAATTCTGAATATTTCAAGATGTTGTCCTTAGGACCTGGTTTGAGTACTTATTAAGGGGGATCGATGAGTATCTAAACTCATCATATTTGAACCATTCTGATTTAATATGAATGGCCCTAATTCAAAATTTTCAAATATTTATATTTTTTAAGAAATGACAATTAAGAGATTATCTTTATTTTAATTATATACTACTAAAATAATTATTTTAAAAAACATAAAACCATTCAAATCATATCTAAACAATCCAAATTTGATGAGCTTGAGTTTCTCATCATTCGGTTGTCTTGACTCTTGAGCATGAAAGGTTTGCTTCATTGAATCATTCTTTTTCATTCAGTTTAGAGCAAATACTGATATGCAAGTGAATCCATACAACCCATTATAACAAGTATGTGGCATGCTTGCATAAACATAAAATGTAGGAAAAGAGAAAGATTTGATTACATTAACCCTATGTTTGGTATGAGAGAATTAAAAGAGAAGTGACAAGAAGAAAAATTTTAATTAGCTCAATTAAAAAAATTGAAAAGTGGGTTATAAATTTTGATAAAAAAAAAAAGATGTAAGATAAAAATGTAAGCAAAATTAGTTAAAAGCTTTTAATCCTATTTTTCTAATTTTTTAAATTGAACTCATTAAAACTTTCCTTCCCCTCCCTTTCCCTCCATTTCCCACATATCAAACACACCCTAAATTCTAAAACAAATTCATTATATGTTGGTTAAGATCCAGGTTGCTGATGGTATGGACACCTTGTCATCTATCCATTTTAATTTTGGCGCCATTTTTCTTGCCAACATACTTGCCAGGTGTGAGATTTGTTCTTTGGCTCGTGACCATAACAAGAAAACGAGCCCTATCAGTGAAATGGCAACAAAAAATTTTGGACATATATCATCGTGTAAAGCCGCGAGCAAGATGACATAACATGCGACGAGGAAGAACGTGATCACTGGCAAAGGACCCATTCTTGGGCCCAGCGCCAAAGTGGGAACCACGACGTGGATTGACAGGAGGAAGATCATGGTGTTCATAGTCAAGAACCAAAAAAGCAACCAGTTTTGAGTACCGTCTGCCGTAACTCTGCCGTCTTTAACAAAGACTGATGGAGGATTTGCCAAAGCTTGGTACGTCAATGTTATAAATAAGGCGGCCGCCACTCGTATTGCATCCTCCTGCGACTGCCCTTCCTTATTACTTTCCTCTTTTTCAGATGCTTCGTTATTACTCCCCTCCCCCTCCACGTTTATTCGACGCTCCTCTCTTATTTCACCACCCTCCTCCTCCTCTTCCTTCAATACCTCTAGTACCTGATGCCACACTTATATTCCAATCAGCACGAACACTCAGATATATTGATCAGATGCACAGCAAATTATATACTATACTTCTGGTCCCAATTATAAGATCTATTTTGTGGTGGAATTTACACTGCAAAACTAGATCTTATATGTATTTATTAGGACCAAAAGTCGTATTTCTCAATGTGTGTGTGTACCTGGTACTGTCTCTTCGCTGCCGCCAGTTGATAGGCACTCTTGCCTTCTTGGTCCTGCGCTTTCAACACTGTCTGGAAATTTGGAAGCCTTCTGATCCTCTCTGCCAGCACGTTCACTGCTCCAAATTGATTGGCGTTCACTGCCAAATGAAGAACAGTCTCTCCTTTTGCCGTCACTTGTTCCAGGCACTGAGGACATTTACTGATTAACTCTTCCATCACCATGATATTGCCTTTCTGTGATGCACAGTGCAGCGGAGTCCAGCCTTCCCTGTCCATCACAAGGCACTGATTCACTCCATCATCTTCACCAAGATTTGCCTTCAACAGCTCCCTCACTGTCTCAACGTGACCTTGTAGAGAAGCCACGTGTAATGGGATCATGCCTTGCTGGTTTGTCTCAGTGGCTAATGAAGGCATTCGAGTTACGATGTGGTTTACAAAATCTGCTTTCCCTGATCTCGCTGCAACATGAAGAGGTGAATCTGCAAAATGAACTGAACACGCTTTCTCCAGTATTTGAGGATCCTCCTCCAATAGGTTGTGCAATGTGTGAACATCTCCATCTATTGCAGCTTTAACCAGCCTCTGGTCCATGGCCTTTGCTCCACAAATAATCACACTTGTTGCTTTCTTTAATCTTTGCAACAACCACTCTTCCTCTACTTGTCAACGCGGCTCCCTTGTATTTATAACCAACCTCACACTATGGCGTTACCGTGTGATACTTATTTATTTATTTGAAAGAGAAGACTTGTTGACTTGTCACGAGAATAAAACTGGACATTTACCCTATAAATATTAACATCACTTCATGTAAAATATATGATACTATCTCCGGTACTTAATATGAGACCTCATTTGATTTTTATTTTAATCTTAAATATAAAACCCAATCCACTTTGTCTCTAATATTTATGTATTTTTTTTAAGATAGTCCTTCTAATAATAATAGTTCTAGCCAATACATTTGATTAGCAAAGATATTTTAGGAAAGACAATACATATTTATGACAAATAACTAATTTAATTTTTTTCTTAATCTTCTTAAATTAGTCAACTAGCTGTTATAATTAGGATTGGAAGCAGTAAGTCATAATATTCACAAGTTGTGTCCCCTCCGTCCTAATCAACATGATTCACTTTATATAATTAATTAATTACCTAAAAACATTAAATAATTCATTGACTGCAGATTGTGTCCCCGTACTGCCAATCACATAATTCACCTTTTTAATTAAATAATTAAAATAAATAAATTATTAGCTTGAAACATTTACAACTTTACGTGGTGTGAATTCATTGACTTTATTAATTCAGTACTTCCACCTTTGTGCGCGTCGGTCGTTTTTTTTCATGACACGTCTTTTAAATTGTTTATTGCATTATTTTTTACGCAAATATGTTGGATTAATGATAAATGCATATTTTATAACTAAATAGGTGTAAATTATGGAATATATTTAATTATATTTATGAATAATTTATACTTATCTAATTAGTTTTTATATATCTTTTTATTTGATGAATAATGGGATAAAAAGTTTGTGATAAAATCTACTCATATTCTTCTTCTTCTTTTATTTTTTTTTTTTTGGTAGGGCAATGGTATCCTTTTAGAAGGCAATTATGTTTAAGACACTATCGCACACTAAATATGAATACATCTCCTAACAAAAATTCAAAATTTGATTCGCCACGTTGTAAATCTACTCACATTCTGATCACTAGCTAAAATGTTTCCAGTCCGTATTAAATATATCTCTGTAATATTAATGAATTGATTTATTTTGTAGGAGTCATTTAATAATGAAGAAATTATATTGTTGTCTTAGATTATTGCTTTGTTGGTGTGACCATGATGAATTTTTATAATTATTTCTGTTACTATCATAAACAGATGATCCTAGTTTTTATGATATATTATGATGAAACTTTTGTTCTTTTATTACAAATTTTAATTAGATTTATTTAATAATTAAATCATGCATTATTTTTTTATAATAACATAAGCTTTTAATTATACTTGAATAATTATATATGGTACTGGGGGCTTTTAAGCCTATTTAAAGCCTCCATTTTCAATAAGCTTTTAAAAAAGTTTCATGTTAAAACTTTTAATGGTTAAGACTAAGCCCAAAAAAAAATTGGTTAATCTAATATTTGGTCCCTTAAATTTGTATGAATTTTGGTTCTAGTCCTTAAAATTTTAAGTCATAGGTTTCGGTCCTTCAATTAGTAAAATAGTTCAGATTTTTATTAAATTATAAAGGCCAAAAATCAAAATAAGAAAAATTTGAAAAATCAAAAATTATACTAACTCATTTATACACGAATTCAAGCTCCAGATAATTTAAATTTTAGACATCTATTTCACGTTCAAGAATCTAGTTTCAACCCTAATGTTGTGACCAAGAAAATAATAGTTCCAGCCCTAATATAAATGGTCTTTTAATATAAACATTAATATGAAATAATGTAAAAGTTACAAAAAGTCATAATATTCACAAGTTGTGCTACCCTGCTGTCCCAAACACATAACCCATTTTTTTTAATTAAATAATTAAAAGAATTACATGGTGTGAATATAATTCAGTGGCTCCATTAATTCGATCCTCCCTTTTATGCAGCGGTCTCTTCCAGAAGACTTATTTTAAATTTTCTGCTTTTTTTCCTACATAAATATGCTTTATATATTAGCGAGAAATGCATATTTTAGAATTGAATAGGCATAAATTTTGGAATATATTTAATTAAAGGGTTAAGAATTAAAAAAAATCCCTGGAAATATACAAAAAATTCACCCAATACTATAAACTTTTTTTAGACTCAAATCTACCAATTTAAATTTAAAAAGATTTCAATAATGTCAGCTCTATTAAGATGAACAAACATCTTTTTTTTTTTTTTACACTTGGACCCATGAATTGAATGGGTTTTTTTTCTTTTAACTGGGGTATTTTAGTGCTTTTATTAAAAAATTGTAGGTGTCACTATCAAAAGTGACACTTTAAATTCTGTCAAAGGATTTAGTATATACGTAAAAGAAATTTTAAGTTGACAGTTACATATGCTAGCAGAGATTTGAGGATAAATACACAATTCTATATGTTGTTGATACAAATAACTATACCTATAATGTCTACCCAAAAAATATTGAGAGTATTTTGATACTTTTATTAAAAATTATATGATATTTGATAAACTTTTATTATAAATTTATGGGTATTTTTAACTCTTAACCGTTAATTAAATTTATGAAAATCTTATATCTACTTAATTAATTTTTATATATTCTCCTTTTTAATCAATTATAGGATAAAAAAATTTTGCTTAGAAATCTACTCATGTTTTTTTGAATAAGATGTTCAAATATACTGAAAATATCTATATAGGATCACTTAAATATGAATTTTTTTAATTTTTATATATACTGAAAGTTTATTGGGTTCGTATGGATCAGCGATTAGAAAAGTAGCTTATTATCAATTTAACTTGTAGAAAAGTGAAGTTGGGTAAAAGCTAAATTGGACAAGTTGAATTGTGTTTGGATTGAAGTTCAGAAAAGTTAGTTTGCAAAAGTAAGATTGGTAAAAAGTTGTTTGGATTATGATTGAGTAAAAGTAAAGTTGGTTGTAAAATAAACAAAATGGATATGAGTTTTAATAAATAATGAAACATGATTTAAAAAATAATTTTACATAATACAATGAATTTAAAATAATTTAATCTAAAGAATTGCAATTTAATGAGTGAATTAAATGTTAAAACTTTAAAAAAATTATTAAAAAATATTTTAAATATAAAGTGAACATGAAAAAAAAGAATTGACAATTTGAAAACTTTAGAAAAATCATAAGAAATATTTAAAATCTAAAATGAAAAAAATTTCCAGGAAAAAAGGGGTAAAAATTATGACAGAAAATAACTGAAGAATAAACTCCCTCCCACTTAAACACACGTATATAAACACAGCGTCTCTCTGACCAACATTTATTTGTTTACGATCACACGGATATATTTGTATATATATTAAAAAAGGGATGGGGTCATGGTCAAAAAAAAAAAGTGGGGAATGGGGAGAATTTGACGAGGGAGCGGCATAAATAAGAGAGATATTTGATATTTTAAGAGGAAGATGTTATTAATTTGAAAGAAGGGTTGTGAGGGAAAAGGTACCGTGGGGGGGGATGGACGTGAAGGCAGGGCCATAAGAGTAGGTGCTGGGTGGATGGCGGTACGTGTCGCTTTCACACTGGTGAAATTGTGGCGTGGGGGGCAAGTACTGGGCCCACAAGTGGAAATAAGCTCTTCATATTTCAGAATAATTGCCGCAGAAAATAAGCGGAGAGGGCTTGAAGAAACCAACCCTATTTTCCTTCCCCTTCTTTGACCTCGCCTCCGACAATCTTTTTGGTCCGTAGCAAATCAGCTTCTGCCATGGCCTCACCGCTTTTCACTCCAATTAACGTCCAAAGGAGCAACAGTGTCTCGCTTGATTGACGCTCACTGCCTGGGCGGCTGCATTTTCTCCCTCTGCTTTTCATCAGTTCTCTCCACCTTCCTTCCTTCTTTTCGTTTTGCTCTCTCACTCTTCATTCCTTCCTAAATCTTATAATATTTCTTACAAAATAAAAAGAATGTGAACAGAATTCATAACAGAATTCATTTTTATCTTATAATTGATTAACGAAAATAAAACATATGAAAATTAATTCAATTAATTAATAAAGTAGACAATTTAAAAGAAGTCTAGTAAAAAAGACCTATGCGTAAAAATGAGGGAGAATCGAATTAATGAAACCACACAAAGTAATTCTTTTAATTATTTAATTAAAAAGGGTGGATTATGCGTTTTAGAAAGCGGAGACACAATTTGTGAATACTGGGGCTTGTTATATATTTTACAGTAATTGATATTAATGTTTATAATAAATGATCGTTCGTGTGTATTATCATTTTCATGACAAGTCAACAAGTCTTCTCCTTAACCGAACGCTTGGCTTTGCAAAACTTTGCTTAAACTGTTTCATTTCGGAGAATAAGTTATTGGCAATTACCGTATGGGCTACTATATATTTTACATTTGCCCAATTGCCCCGTTGTCAAATTTGTGAAGTGCTCATGGCTTTGATTAGTAATTTTTTCAACTGACTGTGTACTATCTGTGCTATTCAGAATATCATAAGGTTGATTTTATTTGTACAAAGCCTAAGACAAAGGTTTTTTGGCTCACTATTAAATTCCTGAAACATGTCATCTATTTTCTTTCACTAAGGAAAATCCACATGATGTTGAAGATATTTTTTTATCTAATATTTTCTCATCAAAATGTCATGTTATCTTTTTTGCCTCCCTCATATTAACAAGTGAATGTTTAAATATGCTATTATTAGAAGATGCGCGCATATTTAAATCTAAACTCTCTTCTTGAAGGAGAAGTGTTTATCCACGACTGGGCAAATAACATTAGCCATATCTGTATTCTGTATTGAGAGGCATTCCTCTTACCATCTGACATGAAGGGGAAAGATTATAAAGAAATTTTATTTGGGGACATGTAACATTACTTATGGTTTCCATCTTATTACATTAAA